TCTACGAAATTACAACCGTTAAAATAACTTCATCTGGCCTGCAAAGGAAGCGTACTGGGGTTAGCTACGTACATTAATGAAAGCAATTAAAGAGGAATATCAATAGAGCAAAGAAAGAAACCTAAGAGGTCTACGACTTGCCCGTAAGATTGGCACTCGACGAGTGCCTTGATATTGATCGGGCGCGCCTCGAACATCGGATAGCCATCCTCATCAAGAATGTCGTCCCCTTCCCTCGTAACCCATCGAGCAGGAAAGAAGCCATCGACAAACTTGTTCAGGACGCCATTAGCTTCCTCGTCCTCAACACTCATATCCCCATCAAGAGTGTGATAGTATCTAGGACCATGGTCGTAATGGCCCGAACACCAGTAAAAGGGAAACCTAGAGACTCTCCCGATCTCGGGATTACCCCAGCGTCCAAACACGGTTCCCCATCCTCATCCACCACAGTGGCCGGTTTGAACAGTGAATCCACGGCCGTCTGTGTAGACGGTTGTAGGATATACCACTTGTCCTTAAAATATCGCATGGAATCCATATACATCCTAAACAGTCTCTTCGAGTGCTTAAGGGACACCCAATTGTGCTTCTCCTCGGGACTGCCGTTGTAAGTGAAAAACCCTGAAGAACAGGGGAATCGTCGCCCCAATCCTCAGGAAACGACAAGTGAGCTCGAATGCCCGGAGAAAGGCAATCGCATTAGGATGGAGTTGGGAGGGGGCCAGGTTCAGATGGTTGAATACTTCGACCTGGAAGTCATTGAAGGGAAACCGGAGCCCGAGATCTCTAAATACGATCTCGTACATAGGAAATGCATCCTGTGTAAACTCCGAACAGATACGTGCATCCCTCGTCGGCCTCATAATCTTGAAGTTCCTTTGAAATCCCTCTTGACCTCCGCCATACTCGACGACGGTATAATTAAGCTTGTCTACTGCGAAGGCTATAGACCGAAGCTATTCCCCGGAGTTCAGCACCGACCCAATCCAGAGTGGGGTCATCGACGGTGTCGACCAGGGTAATAGTTTCCTCCGCTGTGCTTGTTTCCTCGATGTCATTATGCCCCGAGGACTCGAGAATGTCGGCCATTTACCTACAAAGTACAGGAAACTGGTGAATTCGACAGCAAATCTGCTTGCCTGCCACAAAGACGGGGAGAAGTAAGCAACACTCAGACTGAGTCTACAACCATTTGCATGAAAAACGGGGAATAAGTGGACCTCGACCGAACACCGACCCCACCGGCGGACATGTATCAATCATGAACGACGCGAGCATAGCATGAATATCTCGAGCGAAGGGCGAATCCCGTGACCAAGTTCATAATGTTGCTGGCCCGGTACAAGAATATTACGGGGAAACTTAGCCTACATACCAACGAAAGGATGAATCTCCCGACCAAGTTCATAAATCTACTAAGCCAAACGCATGAGTATCGTGGGCACAATCGTAAACCGTATGCCTAAACTCATGAATATCTCGGGCACAACCATGAATCAGGCGCCTAACGCACTTAAATTTATCGGGCACAATCCCCAGACACAAGATTCTACCACTAAAAAGCCATCAAATCTATCTACAACACGAGAAATCAAAGGGAGAAAACACTTACTTGGAAGAAGATTTGAAGAGCGACGGTGGTGGAAGTAATCATATGGCTAACGGAGCGGCGGTCTCAGCGACGCTATGATGACTCACGAGATTGAAAGCATAGAAAATATGAGAAGCGTTGAGAAGTGAAAACGAACTATGGGCCCTGGAGCCCTATTTATAGAGATGGCGTGGAATATGAAACATCGTGCCGGGGAACCACAAACCGCCCTCGTCCTTGACATCTACTCGCATAGACAATGATGGCCCTATTCTCTAGGGCGACATTGTGGTTTCCAAGAGCCGCACCACGTGTCTAAATGACGCGTCCCCACAAGCACTCCTCAAACACTCCTCGATCGCTGCACGGGGAAAATCACAACCGGGTAATGTCTCTTCTCCCCGACTGAATATCCCGGCATCGCGCAAGCAAGTCTCGCGAAAGAGAAAACTGGAATCGTCATAACTCTTGTAACAGGAGCAACGACTTGGGGGGCTCCTGTTCTGGACTGGGCCTGCCCGTGGCCCAATCACCAGTGAGGCCCAATCCAAGCTTTACAACGTATCATGCTGAGCGTTAGATCCTCCGAGCACACCCGATCATGGATGACTGGTTGAACACGACAGCGCCTGCCAGTACCCGCGAAGAGCGTCCCCAACGAGGGACGCCCCAGACGAGGAACATCCCAATCCAAGCCATGCTCGAATATCTTCCTCGTAGGGCAGACTTTCAACCTCTCCGAATGTCTCGGAGTCCTCAGGATCCCGGGAAGATCGCGTCTTTACCCTCCCTATTCTGCGGAGAGCATCATCCAGGTAGAGGACCACGTGCAGGTCCCCACCATTCACGTGGAACCTGGCAGTCCCTTTGTTGGGCCTGTTTGGTCAGCCCAATAAAGGGACCTTGGCCCAGCGCTGGGGGCTATAAATACCCTTTATTTCAAGAGGGCCAGGTATTCATTCATTCACACCTATATACTACTCATTCTGTCTCTCACTTTGTCATCAGAGTGTCTTGCAGATACTCTCCCTCCTCCCCCATCTCTTTCAAATTCAATTCAAAACCAACTGTGATGGTCCAACTCTGATCAGGTACGATCAATAATAATAACAATATAATAATAAACTACAATATAAGCTTCATCTAACAATAATAAATAATAATAATAATGATAATAATAATAATAATAATAATAATAATATACTATCCAACTAACATTATTAAAAATAATATTTTTTATAAATATTATAATTTTTATATATTATGCAATAGTCAAAAATATAAATAAAAAAAATCTCAATACAGCTTTAGTAAATATTTAATATAAAAATATAAATAATTTTTATAAATATCATAATTTTTTATGAATTATGCAATAATTGGAAATATAAAAAATCTAAACACAGTTTTAGTAAATATTTATTATAAATATATAAATAACTTTTATATAAACAATTTTCAATAGAGAAGAAATACAATATTTGAATATAATTTTAGTATATATTTATTATTTCTAAAATATAAGTTAAAGAATCTCACTCTTCTACAATTTAGATTTAAACTTAACATATTAACATAAAATCTTCATAATAAAAACATATTAACATAATAAAAATATTTTTCATTTATATAAGTTAATAAAATAATTTAAAATGTTCAAATTAAAATTTAATTTTTAACTTTAAAATTGTCTAAAAATTAGTTTATCAAATGATATATATATTTTTTTGAATTTTAATGAATAATAATAAAATAAATAAATAGTGGTAAATACTTTAATCATTATTATTAATTTTATGTATTATAACTGTGTTATGAGTTATGACACTAAAACAACACGGGTGTTAATAATCAACACACTTAAACCATAAAAAAATCGTTTTCTTTAATCTTTATTGACTCATAAAATTATTTTAATAGCATATGAAACATTGAAATTTTCTCCTTTCCTTTTTCTCTATACTTTCGTTATTATTTATTGGGAGTCTTTTATAAATGAATTACTTTCGCATACAATTTTCTTCCTTTATTACAATCCAATTCTATCTAAGTGTTTTAGTATGCTTTATGAGTTATAAAACATGGATGTAAAAGATTTGAAACAATTAGGATTAAAATATGTTTTTTTTGTACGATATATATTTATCTGTTTTGAGATACCAAACATGCATGTAAGAGTTGAAAATTTAGTATTTAGGTTATATTAAATTTTGAAATTACACACTACATATTAACTCAATCATTATAATATTGATAGTGTTACTTGAGTGTTAATCCTTCTTTAAGTTTTTTTTTTGTTTATTAGAGATCGTTGGACAATTAAAATAAAATTCCTCTCTTCATAACTTATTGAAATAATCTTTTAATCAATTTTTTTATATCTCATCATTTTATATACCACTTAAACATTTTTTTTTCTTTTTTAGTTACCAAACATGTATGTAGAAAATGAAAATGTTGAGTTACAATTATATGTTTTCTTTTAAATTTACACTATATATCAATTTATTCACGGTTAATCTTTCATCTTTATATATATATATATATATATATATATATATATATATATATATATATATATATATATATATATATATATATATATATATATATATATATATATATATATATATATATTGTTGAAATCAATATATCCTTTAAATACTCTTAATTGGTTAGTAATTAATTTTATAAATTTCTCTCTATTATTTTTTTTAAACATATCTTTATAATTAAAGGAGTGATGGTGTTGTTACTATAAAAAGAAAATAAGATAAAATTAGAGACTCATCTTAATATTCATATTCTGTTAAAATTATAATATTGATACTAATTTACCTTAATTTTTATTTTGAATCAAATATATTCTTTAAAAGCTATTAATTGATTACCAGATAGTTTTGAAAACATCTCTTTATCAACTCATTTTAATCACATTATTATTAGAAACTCAAAAATAAAAATCAACATATTATAATTTAGGGATTATTATTAAGGGAGTGATAATAATGTTACTAGAAGAAAAAAAAGAAGAACTTAATATTTATGTTCTAATAAAACAAAACCTACAACAAGGTTGAGTATAGCAGCATATATTAAATTTTTTTAATATTAAAAATAGTGACTCAAGTGTTATAAATAACATGTGTAAAAGAATAAACTATTCTATATTTCAATTATAAAAAGAATAAATTAATTTCAAACCCCACACCGGTCACAATCTAGTTAAACAATACACTAAGAATGTTATACACTAAGAATAAAACATTGAAAGCTACATAGCCGTTTGACTAAATATGATAAGTATAACACGTGTTTATTCATGTTCATTCATTTCTTACACTAATCACCACATTCACTTCTCCTACCACATAAACTTGTGTCATTCTCTCTTTCTCATTCATTCATGGAGGCTATTGAAGAGCTACCTTCTTCCATTCCTCAACCTTCTTCTAAGGTATACATCTTCTTTTTCCATTGTTATTATTATTTTTACTAACTAGTTACTTTCAAATCTTTATTAACAAACCTAAGTTTATCGTCTAGTTGCATTTTTTATTACTTTTGCAATCTTGAGCACATGCATTAGATCATTGATAATATATATGAAGTTTGTTTCACTATGATTAAGATAGTTGAAATCCCAAGAAACCTCCTTAGTTGTTGGTACATGGTAGTAGCTGAATTATGAGTTATATATTCATAATCCTATGCTTCTAGTAAGGTGTTCGCGGCTCAGATTGGATCGGTTTTAAGACAAAAAATTATCTGATTCAAAGATAAATTTATTTACGGTTTGATTCGGATTTGGTTCAGTTTTGGATGATATATTAAAAAAATCCAATTCGATCTGATCCAATTTTATGCGGTTTAATTTGGATCGGTTTTTGGATATCCAAATTACATATTATATTTTTATTAATATTATAAAATTACTAATAAATCATAGATTTAATATAATATATAACATATAGTATATTAAAAGTTAATATTACAAAATGAGAGTGGTTGATTATGATTGAAATAATAAAATTAAATGAATTATACCAAGCTAATAACTATTATTAAAAAAATTATTATCATCTAATAATAAATTCACGTAACATATCATTCTAATAAAAAAGTAAATAAGTATAAAAATATATGTAAGCGGTTTGATTTGGTTTGAATCGGTTTTAAAAAATTAATTTGGAATCTGATCCGAACCAATCGGTTTTTACAAAATGACATCCAAAAATTCCAATAAATTTCGGTTTTTTGTGATTTTTAGTTTTTTGGATCGGTTTTCGGTTTTTTATTTGGATTGGTTTGAATTTGAACACCCCTAGCTTCTAGTATTCAATTGAATTGATTTTAGTTTTAATTTTAATAGCTATGGGAGTTGGAGATTTAGTTCCAGTTTTAACAAATTATGATTCTGTTGAGCAGGAAGTGGTTGAATCAATAGATGATATGATGGAAAAGGGTTTAGGAAGATTTGGTTGGTTAGAAGTTATGCAGTGCATTCTTGTTTCACTTGCATCGTTCTTTGATGCACAACAATCATTCATAACCATTTACACCGAAGATTACCCGACATGGCATTGCACAAATTCAACATTATGTAACTCAGATTCTAATATCTGCAATATCCCTAAATCTTCATGGTCATGGGATGGACCATCACACAAAACAGTCATATCTCAATGGAGTCTTGAGTGTGCTAGTAGCTTTATTACTGGTTTACCGCAATCTTCATTCTTCATGGGTTGCCTTTTCGGTTCGTTTTTTCTCGCAACTTTAGCTGATAGTTCACTTGGACGAAAGAACACACTTGTTATGTCTTGTTTATCGATGTCTATAGTTTCAACTCTCATAGTCTTCTCTACCAATATTTGGATTTACTCAGCTTTTAAATTCTTCATTGGCTTTTTGCGTTCGTCGATCGGAACCTGTGTGTTAGTTTTGCTCATGGAGAAAGTTAGTACCAAATGGAGGTTCACCGTTGGTATTTTCGAATACTCCTCCTTCTTGTTTGGGTATATGACACTGCCTGGTATAGCTTATGTCAATAGATTTAATTCATGGAGATCGCTTTACATCTGGACGTCGGTTCCTACTATTTGTTACTCGGTTCTTGCTTATATCTTTGTTACCGAGTCTCCAAGGTGGCTTCTAATGCAAGGAAGACGTCAAGAAGCTATGGCAATGCTCACAGGAGTTTCTTCATTAGAGAATGATAATGATTTGACAGTAGGTTTAATTGAAGCTCCGGTGAATAAACAAAAGGCTTCAATTTTCCAACTCTACTCTTCGATAGCCGAGTTGTTTGAGACAGGTTGGGCTTTAAAGAGAATGGTGGCGGTAATGGTGCTTGGTATTGGAATTGGAATGGTGTATTTTGGTATGCCATTAGCAGTTGGGAACTTAGGTTTCGATATTTACTTGGCCGTTGTGTTCAGTGCCTTGATGGAAATACCGGCTTGTGTGGCTACCTATTTCTTGGAGAACCGCCAAAGAAAACCATCAATTCTTGTATTTTCAGTAGCCAGTGGCGTATGCTGTATAATGTGTGTTGTTGTTGGACCAGGAATACAAGAAATTAGAGTCGGATTAGCAATGACATCGTTTTTCTGTGCTTGCACAGCTTTTAATGTCTTTCTCATTTACGTTCTTGAGCTATTTCCAACAAGTGTGAGGAACACTACAACATCATTGGTGAGACAAGCTATGAATTTTGGTAACATTTTCACCCCCTTTTTGATATCTGCTGGGAGGAAAAATGACATTTACTCTTACGGCGTGTTTGGAGTAGTTGTCATGTTGTCGTGTTTTACGTTGATTGGTTTGCCGGAGACAAGAGGATTAGCTCTCTGTGATACCATGGATCAACAAGAGAAGAAAGACGATATGTCGGTATAAATTGGTAATGTTGTCTGTCTACTATGATTTTAGTTTTCATGTCCATTGTATTAAATACTTGAGATTTGATTTTTTGAAGGGAATACTTCGATAATGGTGATCTTGCATTTATATTTTTGAGGCTTATGTTCTGATAATTCCAAAGACAGTTAAAGATGATTCTGTTATTTTCCTCCTCGTGTTCAATATTGATTCTTACCACTGCTAACCGTTAGGGGTGAATAATGTATAAAATTGATGAATGTTTTGATCAAATGAAAAATGCATAAAATTGATGAAAGCTGTTTCTAATAGAGTTTAGTGTGTATGCTATGTTTCTGTTTTAGTCCCTCAAGGTCTCTATATGATTATGAGTTTGACACAATTACAATGGACCACCAATAAATTTTGGCAAAAGTTAATAGTTATACTCATAAAAAACATGTCAGCAGTCAGCACATGTTGCAAGTTGTTGAATTTTTTCTTTGACAGGTATCACTATCTATCACTATAATAATGAGTCATCCCAACTTGAAACCATTACCATTAACGGAAAGCATACCAAAATTTATTGAATAAAAACAGAAAAGCAATGTCATGCACAAGTGGGTTGTCTTTTTCTTTTTTATTTCCTTCTCACTATTTATGATTTTCCAAACCATATAACAAGTTGGTTGTCTTTTTCTTTTTTATTTCCTTCTCACTATTTATGATTTTCCAAATCATATAAGGACATAGTATCAAGAGCTTTATTTCTTCTCACACCTTTTCTTGTATTTTTATTGCTGACAAAAAGAATGACAATGTTGGTAGTTTTGTATGTGTTAGAATTGTTGGTGCATAAATGAGAGATGAAAGATAAAATGAATATATATGGCTATAAAATAAGAAGTAATGAATATATTGATCTATCTATTATTAGGCTATTTATACACAATATTATGATATAATAAAATATTAAAATACATTCTAACAGACTTAGTCAACAAGACATTCCTAAAATATAAATTATTTTCAACACCATCCCTTAATTTATATTTACATAAAAATGACAACATCAATTTCATCCCTCAAACAAAGAAATTGATCAGTCTTGATAGTCTTTGTTAGAACGTCCACCCGTTGCTTTTGGGTTCTAGAGTGTGCAATTCCATTCAGAAAAATAGATTTCATCTTGAAATCCCCATCTGACGTTGATGACTTTCTTCTCCTTTGGAAGCTCAGTTAACTCTCAAATCTTGTTTCTTTCTAAAGTCTCAAGTTCTTCTTTCATGGAATTCAACCACACTTTCTTCTTGAGAGTTTCACAGGTTGACAACGCAACCACCAGTTGCTTCTTGGAGCACCAAGAAATATGACTTTCCAGATACAAACAAAAATGTTTAGAAGTATTTCTTCTGTTAATTCAGTCTTCATACAAATCAAAGTCTGGATAGCATATTAGCTCAACATATGATCTAACACCAGAAGGGAATAACACTTCATACTTCAGAGTCCCTTCAGTATCTTGCAGCTTGTCAAATTCTGCAAATCTTCTTGGTATATTTTTGATTCGTTGTGGCCTCTAGACTTATTCAGAATCTCCTCCTGATTCTAGAACAATATCTCCTTCCGGACTTTCTTCAGAAGTTCGACTACCACCAGAAATTCCACCTTCATAAGTTTGACCGCCTTCAGAAACTCTGCCTTCAGAAGTTTCACTTCCAGAATCATGATCACCGTGAAAGGCTAGATTATCTTTAGAAGCTCCTCCTTCAGAAGGTCCACCTTCAGAGTCATGATTACCACCAGAAACATGATCATATCCAAAAGCTTGTCCTCCAGAACCTACATCTTCAGAGTTTTTCCTTCTAGAAGCATGATCACCACCAGATTCAAAATCTGATCAGAATCAAATTCACCACCTGACTCATCTTTAGAGTCTCCAGAATCAGAATCTTATGACTCTAACTCTTCTTCAAAACTTTCAAGATCCGACTCATCTTCAGAAGTAGAGTCTTGAAAATTCCTAGAGTCTGAATCACCACCGGAGTCAGAGTCAGAATCATCTTTGCCTTCTGAATCTACTGTAGAGTCAGAGTCACTGTTGTACCCCAAAATTTTCCCTCCCATATTTCTCAACAAATATCACGTGAAGTCCCCAAACTACTCAAGGAAGTTCAAAAGTTGACCAGACAAACCCTCTCTTAAGGCAGTCTACTTCAAATTAGAGTTTCATTTTGCATCAAGATGCTTGAGTCCAAAGGATCCCAAATGCTCACCATTGTACTAATATGTTCTCAAGATCATCCATGTCAAGTTCCAAGCCTTGCAGAGGAAGTTTGCTCAGTCAATTGCTCAAAGGCCTGAAAATCAACTGTACTAGGTCAAAAGTCAACTGTGGCCCACATACAGTCAAACCTCAAGATTTTTGGTCAACATACTCATTTTAAAGTATCATTCATCATTTGATCAAGGGTTGATCATGATTCATCAAGGATTGCTCACAATTCATCAAAATCCAAAAGTTGCTAAATTAGGGTTTTGTAGGAAAAGTCAACTCAAATTTGACCAAACATAACTTTCTCATACTTTATCATAAATGACTCATCCAAAGCTCATTTTTAAGAGGATGCAATTCCCTACAATTCATCTTCAGCTCCCAAGTTCAGAATATGCACTCACAAAGATATAAATTTTGACATTATAAGTCATTTTGAAAAGTCAACAAAAACACCTTTTGGGTCAAAGCTTCATACATGAAAATGGAATACTCAATTGAGATGAGACTAAAAGGGTTGATTAGAGGACATCCTAAGCTTTCTAAAAAGTCCAAGAACACCTCTCTAGGGTCAAAATTGAGAGAGTTATGTATTGGCCAAGTTGACCTTTTTTGCAAAATTGGCAAAAGTCAATATTGGTTAAAATTGCATTTTTTCCACATGGGCCCATCTTTTCAAGATTGCATCTCATTCCTAGCATAGTCCACGACCTATAGGCTCCTCCATGCTTTATTTATTTATTTATTTAATTTATTTTGATTTTTATTCACTTAAAATTCAAATAAAATCAAATAAATCTAAATAAATCATATAATGTGTTTTAGGGATGATTTTTGCATTGAAGGAAGATATTATGTGCTGTCAAATGAGAACCAATTAGTGCAAGGCTGATTTGGTTTGAAAAAGATTGGATTGAAGAAAATTTGGAAAGATATCATATGCCATGAAAGACCAAATCAAATCTTCATAACGGGCAAGATTCAAGTCGTTTTTGTTGACCTAATATGTTGTACTACAAATACAGAAGGTATCCAAGGCATGGAAGAGGGTTGAACAGTCGTGCAGAGCAAGAACAAAACTAAAAAATTTCAAGAAAAAGTGCAGATCGAATTCCAAGTTACAGGCCATCTCAAGCCATCCTAACCTTACCAATCGATTGCTGGACGCCCCAGGAACGTGTTCCAATCACTAGCAAGCCTCCCCACGTCCTGAAACACGTTGTAGCAGTCACACGATTAGCTTAAAAAAACCCGTTTTCGTTTTCATTTATTTATACATCATTTGCGCATTTTGATTATATATTCTTGTTCCTTATTGAGTTTGCAAGCTAATCACTATATTCAATTGCATTTTTGTTGACTGTACGTAAAACTACCATGGCTAGGGTTTCTTGGTTAGTTTTAGGGTTTTGCAGTATAGGTTAAATTGAATGTTGATTCAGGTTCCATGATACTCGTGAGGATGAGACGAGTTGAATGGTACCAGTCATGATCATTTATCTTGCCTATGGATAATTTTTGAGATACACAGGTCTATACCTACAACGAAACGTCCGTAGGTAAAAGTTTGTTTACCTAAAACAACAGTTTCTTGGAGAAGAAGATGTGTGTCAGCCCACCACTCGTCCATTCAAATTTTCGCGTGTTTGGGTTTCAGCGTTTTTGTTTTCATTATATCATATTTTGTTTTTATTATATGAACAAATAACAATTGCAGCTCAGTTGGCAAGCGTACATTGAAAATATGCATAAGGACCTGGGTTTGATCCCCGGGTCCTAATCTTTGTTCATAATATTTTTCAATAGGTAATCCAGCACGCTGCATATCAAGAAGTCCACCATGTGCCATCAAGATCCAACCATCAATCATGTCTCTAGCCCAGATCCAAGGCTTCTCCCTTGAAGGTCCATCATGCGCCTCCAGTCAACATATGCACTGAATCCAGCAAAGTCAAAACAGCAGACCATCAACCTTGGGCCCAGAAATTCAGTTGGCACCCCCCTAATTGCTAAAGCACAGGCCCATTATTCCTTTCTTTTTTCTTTTAGTTTATTTAAATCTTTCAACATTTGTTTTTTTATTTTTTTAATTCACAAATTAATCTTTTTTATAAAGTCATAAAATCAATAATTCACAAAAATTAGAATTAGTTTTTTTTATTATTATCAAAACTAATTTAATTTAGTTTAACTTAGGAAATTGTAATTTGTTTTCATAAATAAAATCAAATAGAAAATTAGGTTATCACTTGATTTAATTTAATTTTCTCTTTTTTATCAAACAAATAAAAATACAAAAAATAGATTTTAGAATAAATTAGTTTATTTTTCTTAATTTAAAATTAATTAGAATTAGGATTTTCTCTTTAGTTTAATTATTTTCTTAAAATAACAAAACAAAACAAAAACATTTTTTTAATCAATCACAATTAGGTTTAAGCAAGGGTCAAAACCCTAGACTGTTTTGTATTTAATTCATCGTGCGCGTGTTAATTATTTTTGCCAATATTTCTGTAACTGTTCATGGTTTGTAATAGTTTAATCTAGGACTTTTTACTTGTCACTTTTCCCTGGGTTTTTAGCTATGTAAATAATCCCCCCTCTGAAGCCTTGTAATAGCGTAGATTTACTTTCTCGCATTTTAATTCCCGCAAATATTTGACTGTTTAGATGTATGCTAATAGGATTGTATGACAAGAATGCATGACAAAGTAATACGGTTAGAAAACCCTAATGTGCAAAGATAAATAACTGAAACAAA